TATTTGTCCTTTTGTGACTGAGATACTTCACTCAGCATAATGTCCTCCAGGGTCACCCATTTTGTATAATATTGCATGAGTTCCTTGTTTTTCAATGCAGCGTAATATTCCAAAGTGTAAATATACCACAGCTTCTCTATCTATTCGTTTGTTGATGGGCACTTAGGTTGTTTCCAACTCCTTGCTACTGTGAGCAAAGCCACGATAAACATGGGTGTGCATCACCCATCCCCTCTTACACCCTCCCATGTACACACGTGCATGCACACCCCTGTCTATACACATCACAGACACACCCCATCCCCTCCTACTCCCATCCCGCATACACACATGCGTGTGTGCACACTCGTATCTGTTCACACACACCAACACATCTGCACTTACATACATCCAACTTACAACACACCCTGCACCCCCACCCCATTCACACACCGCACATTCACATGCACACGTCCATGCTTCTGAGAGCTGCTCCGCGTGGTCCTGTTTACTACGAGAGTCAAGGTATGATGGAGGCTGGGGCTGGCAAGTGCTGGCCGAGGGTTTTCTGTTAAAAAGAAGAAAACAGTGTTTTCACGAGGAGTCTTCTGGAAGCATCTGCTCTGTGGTTAGATGTCATCAAGTCCTTTTCTCCTCAGTGTGACCCTGTACACAACACAACAGAATTCCTCCCAGCCTGTGTCACCTTCACGCTCACTGCTGCGTCTGAGTTGCTGCCAACGTGTCAGCCCATCTGGGGAGGGTCTTGCAGGTTCTCGCTGACTTTTCCTAGCATGAGGTCCTTCTGCAGGGACTGGTCCCCCCGTAACGTGTCTGAAATAGGACGCGGAGTCTCGCCCACCTCGCTTGCAAGGACGCTCTCACTGTGCTGCTTGGAGACAGCATCTAGCTTGTCAACTCCTTTGCCTCCTGAAATGTACTTCGAGGGTGCGAGACACAGCAGCAACCTGGACCCCTTCCTGGCGTGGGACACTGGGACTGTACCCATAAATTAGATACACCCTGGTAGTGCAGTGGTTAAACCCTTGGCTGCCAACCAGAAGATTGTCAGTTTGAACTCACCAGCTGCTTGCAGGAGAAAGATGTGTCTGTCTGCTCCCTAAGAGATCCCGGCCTTGGGCACCGCGTGGGGCAGCTGTGCTGTGTCTGGCAGGCCTGCAGAGGGAGCTCCAGTGGCCTAGTGGATAAGGAGTTGCACTGCCAGCTCTAAGGCAGGTGGTTCGAATCCATCAGCTGTTCCTCGGGAGAAAGCCGGTCATACTCCTCCTGTGCAGTTTACAGCCTCTGAAAACCCGCGGGAGGGTCAGCCCTGAGTCAGCTCCTGGGTGGCAGGGGTGAATGAACATGGTTGCGTGAGTTGGAAGTGGCTTGACAATAGTGAATTTGGGTCCCTGGAGTCCCTGGATGAGGTGATGTTTAAGCATGATAACCTACCCAGCAGTACCTCCAAAGAAAGGCCTGGCGATCTCTCCAAAGGTCCCAGCCATTGAAAACCTGCTGGAGCCCAGTTCTGCTTTGACCTGCATGGACTGGGCTTCCGTGAGTTGGCACGGACACTGGCGAGTTGAGGCTGGGCACTGGGGATGTAAGGGGGGTGGTCAGAAGCTGGCTCTGTCCTGAGGGGAAGGTCAGTACAGCATGGGCCGGGTTCCCTAAGCTCTCCCCCTCATCTTGCCCTCACAGAGCGGGATGCCTTTGATACCCTCTTCGACCATGCACCGGACAAGCTCAGTGTGGTGAAGAAGGTAAGTCCCAGACTGGCTTTTCGGCTCAGCTCTCAGCCCTAGGTCTGCGTGGCATTGGCTCCGTGCTGCGAAGAAGGTGGGGGGATGTTTGAAGTGTCTGAAATGTTTGCCACACGGATTGAAATGTAATTATAGTCAGAAACGTAACTGCAGTACATAAAATTAGCACCTTTTAACTCAGTGCCTTGGGCGTCTTCCTGCCCACCGTCTCACTTGGGCGAATTACCCAATCAGTGAGCGTGGCACTTCATCCTGAAGTGCGGGGTTTTGTGCAGTGTGTAGATGTTTCTAAGGGTGTCAACCTGCTGGCTCTCACCGGCCTCATTAGCATGAAGACACGTTCACAGCCAGCCTGGTAAACAAACATGAGCTCTGCCGTCAGCTGTGGGCACGGGCAGCTTTCCCTCCAGGCAGGAGCCACAGGGCCAGGCTGTCAGTGGCCTGGGCAGCCAGCTGGCTAACCTGTGGGTGGATAAAGCCACAACCCCAGAGTTCTAAAATCAGGGGACTAGGGGTGATTGGCTTCTAGAGGGAGGAGCCAGAAGGACTTGCCTCTTGCCCCCTAAAGACGCAGAGACTCCCCTGGGCAGCACACAGAGTTCTCTGTAACCTGCAGATGACTCCTGAGGCCAGTGATGGGGTGGTGGGTGTACTTCCCTCCCTCCTGTGAAAGCTGGGGACAGTCATTCCTGCTCTCCCCTGCCTAGGACATGTTTCATAACTACAGGACTTCCCAGAGCCTTCAGTCCGCAGCTGTTCAGTGCATTTCTCCAAAAGGGGACTGGCAGGAAGTGTTTCCAAAGGTGTCAGTAGTGGAGTTTAATGGTTTATTTGTCTGGGGCAGATGTGTTTCTTTGGAGAACGCCCATCTCAGCTAGCATGGTGAGATCATCGTTTCTCGGGCACTTGGCAGGTGGTCCTGCTGGAGTGTGGCCTCCCCACAATGTCACACTGCACCACTTGGCATCCCCTGGAGGGAGTTGGGGGGGACAGGCTTCAGAGCTTCTGAGCAGCGCCTGTCCCCATCCCCAAGCCACACCGGGCCCAACAGTGGCTCAGTGGGTGCTCAGTGCTGCATGCTCCGCGCTGTCCCTCACCGCTCCCGTCCGCGCTGTCCCTCACCGCTCCGGTCCGCACAGCGCACCTCCCGTCATTCCGCGTGTTTCATGCCTGCTCATATGCCACGTTCAGTTTTACCATTCGCGCACTGCATGTGTGTTGCATGTTGCATGTTCTGCACTTCTGCGCTTGGCGTCCCATTTCCTGTGTCACATGCGTGTCTCTCATTTCATGGTGCAGTTTCCACGTGTACTCCACACTCATGTGCTCCACTTCACGTGCATGCTTCTTATGTCCTGTTTCACATGCATATTGCATGTTGCACACACATCTCACAGTCATGCTTCACACACGTGTGTCATGCAGAGACAACACACACGTCTCACACACACGTTTCGTGTGCCATTCCACAAGGTCATGTTTCTCACATGTGTTTCCTGCTGCACACTTTCACATACAGGTTTCATGTTTGGGTTGCAATCTCATGTTGCACACGTGTGTTTCATAGTGCAACACGTGTACAAGACATATGAAACACGTGTGTTTCCTAATGCTGCAGACACACGTGTCACGCTTTCTGTTACCAGATTCCCATTTCCTGCATCACGTGCATTTCTGGTGGATCCTTCTTCCACACATTTCACAGAACCTACATTTCCTGTGCCACCTCCAGGCCCCAGGCATCATGTTGCAAGCTTCACCTTCCATGTTGCATGTTATAGGTCTCACACTCCAACTCCACGGCAGGCTTACCGATGCATGTCTCACACGTGCACACGCTCATAAACACACATATTTGCAGACTGTCAGGGCAAGGCTGTCTGTCTTTCTGTCTTCATGTCCCCAGCACCAGAGTCCTGAGAGCACGGTCGGTTCTCGGTGATGTAGAGAGACTTGATAAGGCCGTGGCAGCCTTTGACTGCTGAGACAAGTGGCGAGTTTTAAACTTTTGTCCAAGAGAAACAATACCAACCACTGTGTGTGTGACAGGTCTCAGCTCGCTGCCTCCATGAGACCACCCCAGTCCCCAGTGGGGAGGGTCTCTATTACTGAATCCATAGTGGTCACAGCTTGAGGAGTCCTTTCCCTGTGACCACCCAAATGTGACAGTCACTCAGGGTTACATCCGGGATAAGCTTATAACAAATTCTCTTCCCCCTGGGGTTTATCCTTCCTAAGGCATCAATAATCTGCACGTTTTGGGCGGATAAGCATCTCTCCACGCGCACTGGTGGACGAATGGGGTAGATTTAGGCATTAGGGGAAAGGGATCAGTGCTTGGAGGTCCCTGAGCTTCTGCTAGGGATGCTGGGAGATTTAGAGACAGCCCCCAAAGCTGGGCGATTGAGTGTGGTGAGCCCCACTGATGTCACTGAACTGCCCCTGTCGTACCTGGCGAAACGGCGACCGTTTCTGCAGTCGCTGTGCCCACCACCGTGCAGACCCCCCGGGGACGGTCAGAGCTTCCACTGTGAGTGTGGACCTTCACGGCCGTGAGCAGGCGGGGGCCGGGGTCCAGCTGCATGGGTGGGGCTGGGCCTCCCCACTCACTGTCCCTCGCGTCTCTCTGCCCCGCAGTCTCTCATCACGTTTGTGAACAAGCATCTCAACAAGCTGAACCTGGAAGTGACGGAACTGGAGAGCCAGGTACGGCGTGTGCTGGGGGCTGGGCGGCCCTTGGTGTGGCGGTGGGCATCCTTGGTGGCGCGGCGGCTGAGCACTTGGCCGCCGACCGGAAGGTCCGACAGGAAGGTGGGCGATTCGAGCTGCTCTGAGGATGAAGGATACAGAGGGCTTTGCAAAGATTCACTGCCTTGGAAGCGCTGTCGGGCAGCTCTCATCCGTCCTGCAGGCTCCCTGGGAGTCAGAATCGGCTTGACCGCGAGCGGGTTGGGTTTGGGGGTTTTGCTTCAGAGCATTCTGTCACCTCCAGGCTTCCCCTGACTCGTGGAAAGCATTATGGGAGGCCTTGGGCCCTGTGGATTTGATCCCCGGGCAGACATGGGGCTCACCTGTCTGTCCACCTGAGTTCCCACCACACAGCCGGCTGCAGCTCCACTGACTGGTTCTCAGACCTTCTCATAGGCCCTTCATTCTAGACTGTTCTGTCCTCTCCCACTTGTGTTCTCCTCTCCTTTGCAGCCCTGACCCTCAGCACCGTGGCCAGCACCCAGCAAACGCCTGGTAATATTCCTTGTTAATATTCCTTGGACAGCCAAGGAGTGAAACTAAAACCAAACCTGTAGTCATTGACTTGTTCTGACTGATGGGGACCCCCAGGACAGGGTAGAATGTCTCACAGAATGTCCTAGGCTGCAAATGTTCATGGGTGCAGAATACCACATCTCTCCCCACATCTTCGAAATGGCTAGTGGATTTGAATCGCTGACCGTTCCGTTACCCCATAGAGCCACCACACATCCTGGTCCCATGGCCAGAGCTCACAGGTGTCCAATAAATGCTTATCCAAGGAAGGAAATCCAGCCCAATCAGGTGCCATTGAGTTGTCTCCAACCCCTGGTGACCTCGTGTGTGACCCCCACATGTGTAGCTTGCAACAGCTTTGTAGAATTTCCAGGGCTGTGATCTTTTAGGAACAGATTGCCAGGCCTTTCCTCTGTCGCACCTCTAGGTGGATTTGAACCACCTAACCTTTATGGTTAAGAGATAAGTGCTTCACCATGAGTGCCACCCAGGGCCTCTGCCCAAGGAGTAACATACAGAGCACTTTCTTCATCTCAAGCACCTTTCTCGCCCACACTCAAAGCTGAAGCAGCACAGCGGGAATATGGTTCTGAGCCTCAGCAAGCATTACAGACAAAATATCATTTCCCAGGATTAGCCAGCGCCTGGGCGGTGGCATTCCTTCGTTCTCACTGAAGGCCGCGCCAGCGCCCGGCTGATCCCTTTTAAGCCCCCTGGGTGATTGCTTCCGCTTCTTTCTCTTCCTTTTGCTTTTCTCATTTGCTTTTCTAATTAAAAAAGTAATTCAGGTTCATTGTAGAAATGTCTGAAAACGCAGATAAGCAAAACAAATACGAGTCCCCGTAATCCTCACCCCGGAAGAGTCTGGGAGTGCTTCGCCCAGATCCTGTCCTCTTTGCACGCAGCTCATGGGGGCGAAGTTGTGGGGACAAGCGCTCGTGAGGGCCGAGCGGGTGGTGGGTCTTTGGTGTGCAGACGTCCGTGTGTGTTATCTGCAAGCACGTGTCCTTCCTGGCAGTTACCTGTTGTAGGGTGCCCGCCCTCAGGGTGTTTGCTGTTTGATGCATGCACAGCCCGGAAGGATGCTAAGCGAAAAGTAAGACCTCCCCTTGGCCCTGCCCATCTGCTCCCTATCCCCATCACACCAGCCGAGGCACCTGCAGCAGCCGGCCACAGGAGTGCAGGAATGACAGCACAGCACACTGCAGTTGACTTGTTGTTATGTGCCATCGAGTCACCTGCAACTCATGTACCCCATGTACAACGGCTCTGAAGCCCGCCCTGTCCTGAGCCAGTCTCACTAATTCAGACACAACAACCCACATTGCCCCAGTGACTCTATCAGTCCATCTCATCCGGGGGTTTTCTCTCTTGTGCTTTCCCTCCACCTTTCCAAGCATGGTGTCATCTCCAAGGGCTGGATCCTCCTGGCCACGTGCCCAGAGTAGGTGAGACAGAGCTTCAAAATCCTAGCCTCCAAGGAGAAAATTGGTTTCACCCTCTCCAAGACAGACTGACTTGTTTACTTAGTTGGTGGTCCAAAGCACCACAACTCACAGGCATCGGTTCTCCTTCGGTCATCCTTAGTCATTGTCCAGCTCTCCAGTATATAGCAAGTGATTGCAAAGACCGTGGCCTGGATCAGGTGCACCTTAGTCTCTAGACTGACATCGTTGCTTCTCAGCACTCTGGAGAGGTCCCTGACAGCAGATTTTCCCCGTGCGACTCATCTTTTGGTTTCCTGACTGCTGATGCCAAGAGTGTTGATTGTGGGGCCAAACAAGCTGTAACTGTTGACAACCTCAATCTCTTCTCCATCCATCACGGTGCTGCCTATTGGTTCAGTGGAGAATGTGGTTTTTGTTAGTAAATTGTGGGTGACTTTGAATGTGAGTGTTCATGTGTGTGTGGCTCTGTTTTTTGGTCAGTATGTCTGTCCGTCCATCCATCTATCCATTTATCCATCCATCCTCCACTATCCATTATCTATCAGTCTCTTTCATCACTCATTCCTGTCTATCTCCCCAGCAACTATTTGCCATCTGTCATTCTGTCTACTCACCTTCCTCTCATCTATCATCTATTACCTGTCCATCATTTAACTTTCTCTATCCTTCCTCCCTCCCTCCCTCCCTCCCTTCCTTCCTTCCTTCCTTCCCCCTCCCTCTCTCTCTTTTCCTTCCTTCCTTCCTTCCTTCCTTCCTTCCTTCCTTCCTTC